TTTTTTATGTGTAATTTTCCTTTCATTAACAGTGGATGCTTTGGAGAATTTATGAATTCAATGAATGTGCATTAGAGGGTATACTGTTATTCGAAGATGTCATAATGATTCCTAGAACACAACCTGGGTTTCCTTTGTGGTTTCAATTCAAAATAAAATTGCTCTGAAGACGATTACACATACTGCAAATAAATATTGTCTAAGAACAGAAAAGTCCTACTCGCATATTTGCTGTTATAACCTTAGAGAAAAGTCCTATTCGCATATTTGCTGTTATAACCTTAGAGGTTCTAACTGAATTTATAATATTGATAGGTACAATAAATGGATATTAAAATGTATTCTCTGCTGGTGATAAGCTTGGCCTAATGCTAATCTTAAAATGCGGGCAGACCAGGTTTGAGCTGAGTTTCAAAGGAAAGAAGGAAAAGTTCTGTAGTTCTAGTCTCATTGTGGGATAATTGGATCTCTACTCTGTTCTACTCTATTGAGGACTGCCAACTTTGGAAAACGATAAAAACTGAAGCAGGTAAATTTATCATCACCTTTATCAGTGCTAGGTGTTATTATTTGAAATGTTCCACAGAGAATCTTGCAAGCCAATAGATACATTATGAAATGTTCTAGTCAAATCTGTTCTGAAGTTAGCAGTATTATTGTTGTTAACTTACGGTCTATATTCACATGATTTTGGTAATATAATCTGATTTCTGTCAGCTTATTCAAGATCCAGCCCCTCACTAGATGAACCAAAATTGTTAACCCTTCCTCCTTATCCTATTTGTGACTGGAGTGCAAGTCCCATTAAGTTTATCGTAAGCATTTGGCTTTCTCTGTACATATTCTGGAGCAAGTGTATACAGCTCTCTGTTCTAATTTCTCCCCAAATCCTTAACAAAAGTCAAAATCGCTCCTTGACTTCTTTCTTCCGAGCAATGCATGAAAAAAATTGAGCTTGTTGGCTTGGTGTCCTCTCACTTCCTTCACAGTATGTTTATCATACATGTCATGCCTTATAGATAAATTACTCTTGTAGTCAATCCCCTGCCTCATATCATCTCAGTTTGACAACATTGAGTGATGAAGACTTCTAACTGCAGGAGGCAAGTGGTTCCAATGCTTTCAGTTCTCTCACATCGCCACTCATAAAAGTGGTGTATAGATTCATAAGAAGTCTCCAATGATAAGGGCATAAGGTGTGCAATCTGGGAACTTTGCAATTCCAAAGAACCTCTAATTCTAAGAGAAGTCCAATTATCATATGCTATCCCATAGAAGGGCATTTAGAAGCTATTCCCAGCACAGAAATTCATTCTTCCAAATACAGAAAAAGTGTGAAGTTTGCCACAAGCAAATATTGGATACATAGCACAGATGAACAATGACAACAAAAAATCAATAACAAGATGGTTTTCAACAAGGATTTATTTTCTTCTGCTTTCTGGAAATATACTACCATTTTATTTGTGATAAACATGGGAATAACTTTATCTAGTAGAGTAAGTGCACACACACAGAGAGAGAGAAAAATAAAGAGAAAGAATTTCTAGAAACTCGTGCTTAGCTTTTATAAAGGAAAAGAAAACTTGGTGGTGAAGTTGCATTTAAATAGAAAACCTAAATACCCAAACTGATCAGTTACCCTCCAGATGAATTCATCTGAAGTCACTATTATTTTTAGCCAGCAGGCTCAATGGTTGTACTAGCTGAGTGTGGTATGACTAGTCAAATATATCTGGAGGGAAAAAGCTGGAAAAGATTGTCTTCAAGAAATCATAATGAATGAATATAATAAAAAAGAATGTCAACATCAAATGATAATTCTATAAGCTGCCTTGTATAACACTCTTTATCCAATGAGAATATTTATTTGTCAGAAGGGTGTAAACACCAGGATACTGAGGCTTTCCACATTTTATACCCCAGGAAACGATGGCTCTTTGTTCCCCTTTGCACATCAAAGGCCCACCAGAATCACCCTGCGCAAGGGAGAAAAAAGGGTGGGAGAAGAGAACTTTTGCATTATTTGCAGTAGTTGTGTATATATATATATTCATTAAATCTCCATGCTGTCCATCTGATTGATACAGCGACGCTGTATGCTTTTCTCTTTTTAAGGGACAATTATAATATACAATAATGAAGGGTTCATGCCATTGCTGCCTCCTGGTTAGACTACTATAGTTCATTTTACAAGGCGCTGCCCCAAAGATGATTCAGAAGCTGCAGTTCACACAAAGCACATTAGCTTTCCCTCTGACTTTTGCTAACCAGCTTAGCCAAACATGGTAACATCTCAGCGGGAGATACTCTGGTTGCTGGCAGGTCCTGTTCAAATTCAAGAGACTTGTTTTTATTTATAAAGCTCTGAGTAGCGTGGGCCTTCGTTATCTTTGGGACTGTATCCTTCCAATTTTGGCTGGCTGGGAGGGGGCCCTGCAAGTGTCTCATTCAGGGGACTGGAAGGAGGGGGGGCAGAGGAGGATTTCTCAGTAGGATTTCACTTCCGGCCAAGCTATTCACTTTGGAATAGCTTGGCCGGAAGTGGAGAACTATGCCCATCCTGGTTAGAGAATCAAACTTCTGCCCTGAAGCATGTAAAAAAAAGGGGGCAGGACTTTGATTGCCTGGTTTTGGCTTCCATCTTGACTTTTTTTCACCCTCTGCAGCCACCCCCTCCACCCGACTGAGTGTCTCTCGGTCTCTGTTCTGTCGATCTCTCTCAGTTAAACCTATCTTGCAGAGTTAATAGGGTGAGGAAAAGATGGGAAGAGGGAATCCTTGAACTGAAAGAGAGGTAGATGGAAATCTACAGAACAGACAAATAAACCTAAATCTAAAATGGCACTGTATTTCTGATGTTACATATATACTTGTCCCCCCTGCGTATTTCACTATTTCAGAATATGAGTTAAAGCCAAAATGTATTTTTTCCCAACACTTTTGAAGGAAACGTGGAGAGGAAAGGAGATGGGAGGGGAGGGGAGGAGAGAGGAGAGGAGAGGGGAAGAGAGGGGAGATGGGAGGAGAGACGGAAGGGGAGGGGAGAGGGAAGGGGAGAGAAGAGGGGAGGAGAGGAGAAGGGTGTATCTGTTTCTGTATGCATGTATCTCTTTGTGTGTTTGTGCTTTAGCTTACTCCCATCACTGCCAGCCATACCCTTTTTTGATGACGAAATGACCAAATGCTTTTAGCTGTATAAAGATACAATCTATTCTACAAGTGTGA